TTAAAAAGTGCAAATGAGTTCAAAGACCTTATTAAAACATTCGAACCATCAGTCTTTTCCTCCTCCATCAGCCTTATCCTCCCTCCACCACCTAAACCTCTAAACCCCACCACTATTCAAACCATCTCACCTCCCTCTACAATGTTGAGGCTGATGGTTGTGGCCAGCATTAATGGTGGTGGTGGTAAAGTTGGTTCCCGGCCAGACATTGAACGAAGGTTGTAGAGAGAGGTGGGATGGTTTGAATGGTGGTGGGGTCTAGTGGTTTAGGTGGTGGAGGGAGGAGAAGGTTGAGGGAGGAGGAGGAGAGAAGGGGGAAAGTGAATTTTTTTTTTCATTTTTTTGTTTTATTTAAATATGAGGGTATATTGGTCATTTTACATTGCAAAATAGTGAAAATTGCATTTTTCGTAATGAAATGTTGAAATAAGGACGAAAATGTAAAAGAAATGAAACGTAAGGACGTTTTACGTAATAAGTGTCAAACGTAGGGACGCTTTGTNCCAAGTACAAAAAGTTTGAAACATAAAAACGTTTTCCGCAATCAGTGTCAAGCATATGGGGTTTTGTGCTTAAACCTTTTAATAAGGCTTTTGAACTCACTTACACTTTTTAAAAAGTTTGAGAGTATAATTACAATTTATTTTTTTTATTTTTCATTTCCTTTTTTTGTTTTATTTTATATAGAAGTGTATATTAGTCATTTTACACAAAAATAAAATAGTGAAAATGACGTTTTTCGCAATGAAGCGTTGAAATAAGGATGCAAACACAAAAAATAAAAAAATAAAAAAAAAAATGAAACGTAGAGACGTTTTGCACAATACATGCCAAGTGTAAAGACGTTTCTATTAAACCTTTTCTCCGAAGCAGCATAAAAAGTTCCAAAACCTAGTCTCGTACTCTGGCTATTCGATGTTCCTTTGATTTGGAGCCAAAATTTTCCCACTCTCTCTTCCTCTCACTACATGGCCACCACCGCCACAGCCGCCGCCGCCACCGCCACAGCCGCCGCCACCGTTAAGCCCACGATCTCCTTCATTTCCACCACCAGACTCTCTTCTCTGTCCCCAACATCTCATCATTTCAACAAACTCCTATCCAATCTCCTAAAAACCATCCCAAAGCCCCTCCAATTAACCCAGTCCAAGAACCCACTCTCCGACATCATCAGAGAAACAACAAAAAATTCAGATAAAAATTCCCTGAATTTCAATGATGAGAACGATAAACCCCGTGAAGAGTGTGGAGTGGTAGGGATATACGGTGACTCAGAGGCATCCCGGCTTTGCTATTTGGCCCTCCACGCTCTCCAGCACCGCGGTCAGGAGGGCGCCGGTATTGTCTCCGTTCACGATAACGTGCTTCAGTCGGTCACTGGCGTCGGACTTGTATCGGAAGTTTTCAGTGAATCGAAAATGGAGAAGTTGCCAGGGGATATGGCCATAGGACATGTAAGGTACTCCACCGCTGGATCTTCTATGCTTAAAAATGTACAACCTTTCGTTGCAGCTTACAGATTTGGGTCAGTGGGTGTAGCCCACAATGGGAATTTGGTGAATTACCAGGCGTTGAGGGCGGAATTGGAAGAAAATGGGTCAATTTTCAATACTAGCTCGGATACAGAGGCGGTTCTTCATTTGATTGCAATATCAAAGGCGAGGCCATTTTTATTGAGGATTGTTGAGGCTTGTGAGAAGCTTGAAGGGGCTTATTCTATGGTGTTTTTGACAGAGGATAAGCTTGTGGCGGTTCGGGATCCTTTCGGGTTTAGGCCATTGGTTATGGGTAGAAGGAGCAATGGGGCTGTAGTTTTCGCCTCGGAAACTTGTGCATTGGATTTGATTGAGGCTACGTATGAGAGAGAGGTTTATCCAGGTGAGGTTCTTGTGGTGGATAAAGAAGGGGTCCAATCTCTTTGTTTGATGTCTCATCCCGAGCCTAAATCGTGTATTTTCGAGCATATATACTTTGCGTTGCCAAATTCCATTGTTTTTGGGAGATCAGTGTATGAGTCGAGGCGTGTTTTTGGGGAAATCTTGGCCATGGAGGCTCCGGTGGATTGTGATGTTGTGATTGCTGTGCCTGATTCAGGAGTTGTGGCTGCATTGGGTTATGCTGCAAAAGCAGGGGTGGCATTTCAGCAAGGGTTGATTAGGTCACACTATGTGGGGAGAACATTTATCGAGCCATCGCAGAAGATTAGGGATTTTGGAGTGAAGCTAAAGCTTTCTCCGGTGAGGGCTGTGCTGGAGGGAAAACGAGTGGTGGTGGTGGACGATTCAATTGTTAGGGGAACCACTTCGTCAAAGATTGTTAGATTGATAAAGGAAGCCGGAGCGAAGGAAGTCCATATGAGAATCGCAAGCCCTCCAATCATAGGTTCTTGTTACTATGGCGTTAATACGCCTAGTTCTGAGGAATTAATTTCGAATAGGATGAGTGTGGAAGAGATCAGGGAGTTCATTGGCTTAGATTCGCTTGCTTTTCTGCCACTCGATAGCTTGAAGAATCTATTGGGCAAAGATTCGCCCAACTTTTGTTATGCTTGCTTTTCCGGGAAGTATCCGGTCGAGCCAAAGGGTAAAGTTAAAAGGGTTGGTGATTTTCTTGATGATGGATTGAGTGGGAGTATGGAGTCTATAGATGGAGGATGGCTTCAAGGAACTAGGAACCAAAAAGATGTGGGAAATATAACCCTAAATTGGAAACAGGGAATCAATTCCTCCCAAGTAATTTGATGAAAAAATGATTGGGGAAATTGTTCCAACTGTAATATATTGAAATCTATAGTATAAAGTTAAGGTATGGGATGCAAGTTTCAGCTCATACAGCAGTTTTGGCTATGCATTCATGTATTTTCTGATAAAACTGATGACTGTAATATATTGAAATATATAGTATAAAGTTAAGGTATGGGATGCAAGTTTCAGCTCATACAGCAGTTTTGGCTATGCATTCATGTATTTTCTGATAAAACTGATGAAACATTGGGCTCTGTTTGTAACCTGCATTGTAAATGTTTACTGACTCCGGATGGGGATGGATTATTTTAGCTCGTGTTTTGAATAGAGGACATGATTTGTTACTTTCTTTTCTTGTTTAATCTTTATTCGAGGGAAAGCCGGCCTCCATTTGAATGGAGTCCCCGGCCTTCCCAAGGGCATCTCTCATGTCTCACAAGTTACTTGCAAGCAAATGAATGATCGATCATTTCTCTTTGTAATCTACTTATCCACAAGCATAAATGCTTGTTGAAAATAAAGAGAAAAGGACAAGTTGGTTCAAAGACGTGTCGATAAAAGGGAACAAAGGTCCTTGCGTTCGAGATGGACTCAAATGATCCTCGTGTAGTTATGGGCAAATATTATAGGATTTTTCTTATGCATTTTTAATTTAAGATTCTTTTTACTTGGAAATTGGAATAAAAAGTCGAAAATTTTTGGTTCTCAAAAGCTATCAAGATCCATAGAATCATAATTGGCCTCGCAATCTTAGCAAATTTTTGTGTGGTATATTATGAGATCCAGTTCGGCAGCATGAAATTGAGATGCCATCTATCCATATAAAGTCAATTTCCCTTTGTTTGATTAAAATAAAATTCTCTAGTGCCATTGATACACAATGCGTAATTCAAGAACATCAACTTCAACTATAAAATACTCAAATCTGAATTGAGAACATTATAAGCTCATAGTTCAATTTCAACACAATATACTTGGTTACAAGTTCATCCAAGTAGACAGAAAAATAAAGATCGAGAGGCACTTGCTGTAGAACACAGATGCACAACATGAAAGTTATTCCATTGATTCTTATTTTTAGGGTTGATAAAGCTCGTCGATCCAAATGAATCATTCTTCTGGTCTCTCTGAAACTAACCCACAGCATAGCGCCCATTAGCTGCTCTCTTCACTCTCCAAC